ATCGGTTTCAACGCAATCACTTTTCTCTCTCTTTCTCTATATATACATATTAGGATAAATCAACATATACATTTTTGTCATAATTACATGTTAAAATAGTGTGCCTACAATATATCTCCGCGATTACCTACATGCTATCTACAAACATTCCCCCCACGCGCAATGACACATCTTCGACTGATTTAAATAATAAAAGGCAAACCGATAACAATTCCTAGTGTTGTATTGATTTATACAGTCCAGCAATCATGATGTATAACTATGTAATCAATACTAATTGTTATTATGTTGAACAATGTTGATATCAACACGAATCCCATATGATATTTTGATGCACTATATACGTATAATGCACAAGAATAAATACAGGTAAGCATTATCACAGAATCAGAAAAAATATATAATTTCGGACTTTTACAAACATTGTTTGTGAAATCAATGATAAATAAATATCCTAAGATTTACCAAAACTCCATTGTAAAAGTCCGAACTGCTAAAATCATTCAGGGTTTGGTCAAACAATAATGCATATCCTAGATTTTACCAATCGCAGTCGGTAAAACCTAGGATTTACCGGTAAATCCTAGATCTCACCGGTATTCGTACTATTACTGTAACCGTAACATACATATAAAAAAATAATATATATATATATATATCTTTCTTTCTACGATATACACACTAACTACAATTTTTTTTCTTTTTACATTTTCACGGACTAAGGATTCTCGAACCACGAATATATATCAACAGTATACTTGGTCAGACCCTTTTACTGGTCACATATTTTTAAAAAATAATTATTTTAGTATCACATATACATCATGTTATATTAGAAACTATAAGACTATGTTATAAATGTATTATTCTATATATCTCAAAAACAGAATTTAGATGTGATTTGGGCTTGGTTTTATACTTGGTATTAATCTTAAGTTAATGCTTTAGCATCAAAACAAACTGTTTAGTTGAGTTTAATTAAAATAAACGTTTTCTTTGAAATATAAACTGTCTGTTAAAACTGAGCAATGCATAGAAAAAGAAGTATTTTAAAAATATATGAAGTTCAATCAAAAAGTAAGTGTTACGCGAAAGTAACGAACTACGGTTAAGTATTTAATAGGGATCAAATGTTTTTTTCTAAATAGATTCATTAGTCATATTTTTTAGTTCTATTACCATTTATTATTATGAAAATAATCAATATTTTTTCGATATGAACTATATACGTATGTACATTGAATTACCTACTTTCAAACATGTGCATTTATTGATAGTAATACCATTGATTTTATTATATACATACTATATATGTGTATTATAAAATCAATGGTAATACATAATAAAGTAATATAACAAAGCAATTTAGTACATAAATAAATAATACAACCTATAAAATACATTTTTAATAACTAGTTTAATAGATAATATTATTAATAAATATATATTTTTATGTTAAAACAAATATAAGCCTTAAGTTGATAAAACGCATAAGGCAATATATATTTACGTACAGATGATGATAAAACGAAAAATAAAAACGATTCCGGGCTTAGGTTTGGTCCAACGACCAATATTAGACTCATCGACTATCAGGCTCCAATGATAATATTACGGGTACTTACACCCGACAGTTCATGAGTGTAAATTGTATGAAAAAATTGGAAAATAAAACGGCCCTCCATGTTATATACATCGTGTACGGATAAAGAAAACACGAACCTCTTACTCCGTTTTCCTATAACTTCCTCCACTACTAACCCATAGTTATAGGGATACCAGATTTTGAAATCCCTAAACCGGAACATCATATTGAATGACTTTTTTTTTTATGTAACATTCATATGGAAAAAAAAATAAGTATATAATTTTGTAATTTAAATATTTTTTCACTGATACAAAAATACATTATTATTATATATAATTAGGATTGGAATTTTTTACGTTCTTAAAAATCGTTAAAAATGACGTTAAAATAATGCAAAAATGACTGAAAAAGCTCATAAAATGCATTAAAAATTGTCGTTAAAATTTATTTAAAATAGCTTAAAATTTAAAAAAATTACATTACATGTACATAAATATTTTATTTTACTTTATATATTAATAAATAAAATATTATTTTTTATTGTTATAATGAATCACGAGAGCGTTCAGATTTTCAAATAGCAATCCCCTCCGCTTATAAGTTTTTGTGGATAGAAAAGCTCCTTTCTAAATCTACAGAAGTTACAGGTGAGTATTTAAAGTACGTAAAATCACTCGCTGTTAGATCATCCAGAAATTCATTTTGTGCACCTTCTTGTCCATTTAAAATATTTTCCAAAAATGAACGTAACTTAAAATTATTGAGCTTACTTAACGGAATATTACATTAAAGAAAGTCATTAGTTAAATCTAAAAAGTATTCTGACCTATTTGTGTGACCTGATGTATCGGCAATAAAACTTCATAACATATTTTTTTTTCTTCTTCAATTTTTTCTCTTTGTTTTATTCCATTTATATAAACATATATATGATATATGTTATATATGTCTCTTGATATATGTTGTTATATGGTAAAAACGTTTTTCAGCAGCAACTTTATCATTGCATACCTTACATAACAATGCTAATCCACCGGTAGAAAAAATCTATAATCTATAACATTTAATTTTATATTCAAAAACGCCAAAAATGATTTAAAAACCCTTAAAATGCCCTAAAAAATAAGAAAAATAACCTTAAAATCAAAAATCTTCAAAAAATGCAAAAAAATTTAAAATAAAATTTCTTATTCTTATTTCAAAATACTTAAAACATATTTGCAACAAAACGAGCATCGTACAGAAAGCTTCAGAAAAAAATGCAAAGTGCATCGAAATCCTAGCACTATATATAATATCATATTATATATAATGATTAGAAAACTATAATATAACTATATGATGTACAATATTATTTTATGTTTTATAATTATATAGTACAATATTAAATGTTATTTTCTCTGAGCTTCTATAAAAGGACACCGAAATATGCCTTTAAAATCGGGATGAATGGCAAGTCTACCTATTTACAAGATAACATTTCTGGTTGACAGTGGAGAATAACTTCGACGTAACTTGAGATCGTTTAACCTGATAAAAAGAAATTATTTAGAAAATAACATAGTTGTTTTAACCACAGTACATAAAAAAAATCAAAAAAAAAAAATCAATCATCCAAGATCAAAGGGATAAGACTGATTATCACGCACCAAAAATCATACCAAATCGCCATTTTCATTGAAAACATATCTGTGTCATTTTTTTTTTTTTTATCCACATCGTAAACGGACATTAAAATATATAACTCAGGGTATAAAGAGTATTAAGAATAGAAGTATACATTTTAGTTATTTAACGACTAACGAATAATGTTTTGTTATAATTTAACGGGTTCACATTTAATGGGCGGGACCCGTTTCGTCCAAAAATGACCCTGCTCGTTACGCCCAGGTACCTGTTTCGCCCAAATTTTATTTTTATACGATTCCCGTTTCATCCAGAGTAGTTAAGACCATTTTAAAATTAAGTTGGCAATGATTATAATATTTTAATATTTGAGTATCATTTAGCGTTATCCAAAAAACACCACAAGGAGGTGATTATCTTTGTTTTCCAATTTTTTTTGAAAATAACCAAAAGTATATAACGTAGCAGAACACGAACGTTTTACACAACGCCAACGAATTGCACATATATTTACATTATTTGAACCAAAATAATATTTATAATTATTAAACATTACCATATCTTGGTCTCTTTTAGTTTTTAAAAAATACATCCATTTTAGTAAAATGCGTGTTATGTTTACACGTCGACGTCTCGTATACGCACCGACCACGATCAAAAATAATCTTTGTTGTCTATTATTTTTATAAGTTATAAGTAGGTACCTATTTTATACTAGATAAGATAAGTTACGGTGATGATGCAGCGCGTTTATAAATTCATTTTTTCGGTGTGCTTTCGGTATGAAACGGGCTACGCCCCATTTAATATGTCTTCAAAATCCAAGTTTTCCAATTCTATACTGCGCATTGGAACATTATACAATAACACGACGACGATATCCGTGATAGGCACGATTATCAATAAGGCGTTCATTCTTAATATTATATACTTAAATTTTGGTGCTCAAATTTAATTCAACTATTCGTTGTACAAATATCAAATTGATTTTATGTTTTAGACGTTATTCCGGCATATTTACCGAATCGTAAAAATTAACACATAATATTATACTATAATACCAAAGTGTAAAATAATCTTACGATTAATCGTCGTACATCAATGATTTGTAATTTTCATTAATATATTAATGTACAAATTAGAGTAAGGATGTTTACGACCAAAAAAATGGATAGAATATTGTCTGTGTATACCCCAAAAAAATCAAAATACAATTACAAAATATTTTTAAACACTAGTGTTTGTAGGTATTGTGAAAAAAAATAATGTGATTACAAAAAGAAAAAAAAAATCAGTATATTTAAACATTTTTTAACACCTTTTACAGTATTTAATGGAATTTTCATATTTTATAAGAAAAATGATTGTGCATAGAATGCGTACCTGTTTAGAATTAAATTTGAATTCTCGTATGAATGTACGCGTACGACTATTCATTGTAGTTTGAATTCTCTTTGTAGTAAACATACTCTTTACATAATCATCCACAAAAATATTACTCAATAACATTATGGAAAAATGTGGAAAAAAATTTGAAATCATAACTGTTTTTTTGTAGAACTTAAACACGAAGAACACAAATAATTTTAGTAATATTAAAAGTTTTAATATAAATAATTGAAATTCTCGACCTCAGGTTAACTAAACGTATTCCGCACTTTAACCGTCTCGAAAATGTCGTATTATCCAGTACCTTACTTCCTCGATCCTTGTAAATGATAATTTTCTGTTGTAATTTATTTTCATTTGAATGGTTTTTTTTTTTTTTGTTATGCCGCGAGGTCAGGTTTTCAACACCGGTTGTTTCGCGCTAGTTGCTAATCAATTCGGAGCTCCAATCATCGGCATAACTTCGACCAGTCTCTACCCATGGTACAGTGGTATGGTAGGTGACGTGGCGACACCTTCATACGTGCCGTTAAACTTATTGCCGTTCACCAGTCGAATGACAGTTAAGGAACGTTTGATAAACACCGTGATTTTGATGACGTTGAAAATTTACTACAAATACAAGTATGAGCCTAAAGTAAGTGGATCACATAATGTTTTTCGTTCTGATAATTTTCCTACTACCCTCCACGCATCGGCCACCACAAGACTCCACTTCCATGCTTTAATTTTATACTTTTATGTCAGACTTGGAATGATGAATGGAATGGTTTATTTGTGGTCCATACATCGAAAGAAATAAACAGTCCATGTGAACGAAGGAACTTTATGAAAAAAGCAGAATAACAAAGCTGTGTAAAGTTTATACGATATTAATCGGATTGCGATCGTTCCAATTTGAATCAATATTTTTTCTGTTAAAATAACTTTAATCAACACATTTTCTGTATTTTCAAACATTTTCTACTGGAGTCACTCCATCGAAATTATCCTATAGTAATATCCACTTTTAAATATTACTTGCTTGATTTATAGGCTCAAGAAATTGTCAACAAATATCTGGGAGACATGAATGGAACAGTATCTGAAGCCATGAGTATGATAAATGCCGTCATCATGAACACGCATTTTGCGTTTGGATTTGCACGGCCATTGCCTCCGGGTATCATTGAAGTCGGAGGATGCACTTACAAAAGTCCAAAACCTCTATCAGAAGTAAAGGACATCATATAAAACGACATTAATATCGATACAATTTTTAGACTAGTGATGACTAAATCGACATGGTTCCCTAGATAAATACTCGTAAACAAACGTGTGCATATCCGTATAAATATTTGAACTAGTAGTTAATCATTTTTGATCTAATAATGATCTAATAATTAATTTACAAGTTAAAACCAAAAAAAGGTGTGAAACATATTTCGTAAAAATGGACACAGATTACATATGGCTCCTTTTTCATTTCGGAAACTCTCGGACATTTACTGAAAAGCCACTAGAAACTTCTAAAGTTACACCTATTCGAAGTCCCAAAAAGTACAGTACTCTACTTCAAACATATAAATGAAGCAGTATAAAACTTGCACGCTCCTTTTTGTTCCAAAAAATAGTAGTTCGTACTACACATTAAGTGTAAAAAAGTACCTCACATGTGTCACTCGTTCCACTCAGATTTTAAAAAACGTGTGCATATAATAGTTTCTCATACCTGCACGAGACAGTACGTTTGCCATATACTACTTGTTTTCTCATACACTTTTTTTTTTTTGAATAACTTTTAAATGTCAGTTCCGCTTAGTTCAGATAGGCTTGAATGTAATTTATAAATAAACTTTATTCATGCATGTGACGTCGAAAACTAATATCGTATTGTATAGGTATTATAAAATCCATGGGTTACCAAATCGCTGTTAGGGGTATTCAATAGATAGAAAAAAAAAATCGGTCTTCCAACATTTAGTCAGATAAATTAGAGTTTACTACTACTATAGAATGACCAATTACAAAACGTCTTGTTTTTCAGCTTAATGTCTCGTTGACCAGATAATAACGAAACAAGACGTGTATCATCCCATTTGTCAGGAACTGTTACATTTTAATCTTGTTATTTTCTTGTTTTTCTCTAAATTAAAAATTGTATTTTTAATTTTAAATTCTATAAAATGTATCCATACAAATATTACAAATATATATCAGATAGATCATTCCCTTTAGAAGTTCTGTATATTGAAACAATATTATTTTGCAAACAGTTCCAACATTATCAGATTAATAAATTATAATAAGTATATTACTCGTATATTTATATTGAACACAATAATTAAGTTATTTATTTAGTATCGATTTATAACATTAGAGTTACAATCGATCATTCGAATATTTACGTATAAAAGGTTGTCCGTACAACTGATTCGCTTCGTTTCGAGGCACAATTTTTTACAGCACCTCCATCTGACATATCCGTCTGCCCGCTTAATCATTAATTTGTGTCCTTTCACTACTAACAAGTCTCTCCCTTTTTCCGAACTCATGTGGTGCATTTAATTTTCCATTTTAAAAAATCTATATAAAACATTAAACTAAAAAAATTATGAACACTGATTGATACAATTGAAATCATAAACCGACATCATATGCGTGATTATAGTGTATTCACGCCTGTATAGGAATTTGTAATATAGATAATTCATAATTTCATTCGATATTGGCACTATCGAGTATAGAAAATAATATTGTGATATTGGATCAGTTCTAATATTTACCGTATTTAAATTTGGCAACGTTGCATGAAATTGAAAATAACGTAGCGCGCGCAATCGTAAGTTTAAAAAGATACCACCGATAATAAGCACGCGCAGTCGTATCGCGCCCATCATAACACACCGAGTTCTCTCGGCTGATTTCAAAATATGAGGCAAGATTCAGGCATCAAGGCAGTCAGTAATTTTAACACGGCTGTTTAGGGGAGATAACATTTTATGTTCCACGCAATTGATTACCTATCTGTTGATACGCAAAATACATCAGCTTTCTAAACTGCCCTTTAATGTATATTGTTCTTTGGTATATTATTACCTATTATTATTATTTTGATGTAAAACACTTTCGGCCAAATCCGAATAAAACACATTCGTCTCCGAAGTCTGAACTCCAAATATGGTTCAATGCAAAATTATAATTCATTCAATGTCGATTTATTCAAAGTTCCAGGATTGCGCGTCATATTAATTAGTTACTAATCGGTGTCTTTAATATCGTTTTTTTTTTTTATAATATGTATTATTAAAAACTTATGATAAATTCAACAATCACACTGCATATATTGATTGTAAAAAAATGTTTACTATTGAAGAGCACATCAAGTAATTTATTATATTACTTTATATGTAATTCAATACAATATTAAAGGTTAACAAATTAAATAAATATAGTCAGATAATAATTAGGTTAACCGTAGGGTTTACGTCTTTATCAAAGAGAATTCCTTAGAAAAGCAATTTTCAATTTCCTGATGGATTCAAAGAAAATCTGTGCAATAATTATTTCCTAGTAATAATATAAAAATAAACGATGATAATAATAGTACATTTGATTTTAGTAATAATTTGTTATGATCTAGAAAAAAAAATTATTCTTAAAATTTGAAATTTTTATTTAAGTTAGTAGTGATGGTTGTGTGATTTTGAAATAGATATGAATATTTGTAGATTTAAGTAAGAACTCTGAATGTATTTCAAATTAAAACGCAATTTTTTGATGTTCTTTTCCTGTTCATTCAGTAGTATTTTTTCCCCCCAAAAAAAATGTATAGTTCAAATATAAAAATAATAATTTAATATTTTAGTTGTAGTATAATTACTAGTTTTTTTATCAGTTTTAAATCGTATTTATACAATATATTAAATACATTTCAATTAATTATAGTGAACATGTATATTACATGATATATAACTTTTTACCACGCTAAAATATACGAATTATTTCTTGAATTATTATTCGCGTTACCCTTATTACATTTTACCACTATTTTTCGAATCAATTAATGTTAAACATAATACTTTCAACAGTAATTATATTCAATTAAAAAATAATATAACAATAATTACATATTATATAATAGAAATAGTTCAGAACAACACTAATTTTAACCACCATAAATATTGTAGTTCATTCTCAAATTGAATAATTTTATTACAAGACGTATCTGTTGTATCATTCTTTTTTATGTCTGTTATTAGTTATATCAAGCCAAGTGTTACTTTTAATGATACGTACGTATTAGTTATAAATAATCCAAATACGTCGAATTGCACACATTATTTAGTATTGGTAATTATTCGAATAATCGAAATTCAAATCCTTTAATATGATTACAAACATCAAATATTATTATTCACGTACACAATAATACCTAATGAAATAATTTATCTAATCTATACATGATTTTAATTAGCCATTTGTAATTTATTTTATTTACCAATTATTACTATCGTGTTCTCATCCGTCAATAACCCGTATAATAACTATATTTCTATAAATTACGATTGTTTAAATGTTAATAGTATGAATATTATAACTGTTCTTCAATTTTTTAGTTATAATACTTGCATACACAACCTATACAAGTACAGCTACAAATGTTTGATAATAAATTTATGTCGGTTGGACTTGGAACCGCGAGCTCTGGAATTGAACTCGATGAAAATCACAAAATATATTATAATAGGTGTTTATGATATCATTAATTTAGAAACTATTAGAAACGCAATAGACCTTGTTATACTGAAATACCTTTCGTTGTTAGTAGGCTAGCAAAAGTGATGGATAGAGAGGAGGGAAATTATGATTTCTTGATCTAATTCCACTAGTCCTATTTCCGTTGTTCGTTTTTTCATTATCGTTGTAAGGCATACGATGGCAAAAACGTTTGGACAGTATAAAAAACTGTATTTGTTCAATCTAAATCTGATCTAATACTAATCGATTGTTTTTTTTTTGATTTTTTTCTCAATTTACAATAACTTATAATTTTTTTCAAAAAGGCAATATTTATTTTTGTGGTAATCACCACTAACGCTTGTATAACTGCAGTAGTGAATAATTGTATCGAACAATCTAAAACGCCAGTCACGTAATTCATTTTAGATAAACAAATACCGTTATGGGTTTCCGTTCACAGTCTTCCCGGATATCATTCAATATTTACAGCCCGACCTAACTGACGGCGCTATTGTTTTCGGCCAACGGCACGCATGATTTTCTTTCTTTTACCCGAAGGATCACCATAATATAGAACAATAGTTAATATACGGTGTAACAACGGCAAAACGAAGCAAATATTACACGTCACACGGCTAATCACGCCACGACACGGCAACTGAGCACGAAGTTCTCTATATATACCTACTTAATATTCACTGCTACTCCAGACTAATGGAAAAACAAGTGTCCATCAAGTTGTTTGCCCGAATCCTGAGAACGACAAATAACCATTACACCGGGTGATGGAGATTATTATAAAGCGCATTTCATTCGTCTTGTTTTTAACACGTCGACCATTATATGAACGGGGAGAAAAATTGAAAAAAATTAAAGCTCTAAAATAAATATTAGCAATTTATTATTATATACCGTTGGTAAATCGCGTGATTATTGCACAAGTAGTTGTTGTCATCATCGTCATTCTAACAGTTTTATTATGTTTTCTTATAAATCTTCAGACTCAAGTGGCGATCCTTTACGTTTCTTTTACACAAGTTTGCTTTCAAACGCAATTTTGTTTATTTTTTTTTTTTTTTTAACATCAAACCCCAGTTTTTATTTTATAGTTTTAATTGCTTACTTGCGACGTTTACCTCCTCTCACTTCCATCGGTTACGCTCACTGTCGGAACATTTTATCTTGGACCATCTTATTTTTTTTATATCATCTATGCCTACCGTTTGTATTTTATATAGATATACCTCATTTTTCTCAGTTTCTCATTGTTTTTCGCACATTGTTTTTTATTAGTTAATAGAATTTCGTTTAGTGCTAGTTTTAAAAAAATGTCTTTCACTTTTCTGCTCTTTCTCTTTTAAAAGAATATCCCGCCGTTACCGGAGTCATCTATTTCAACAATACATTTTTTTGGATGGAATGATCTTTGACTGCGATACATTTTGACTGAGAAAGGCAAAAAAAACGTCACCCGAAATTCATTACTCTGTACACGGCAAAAAACCGATATCGAGGTTCATGTCGTTTTATCAATAACTAACACTGTTTTCCAGTTCATCCAAATTATACGAAAGCGAATACATTTTCTTAAACACACCCGCTCAAAAAAATAAAATTATAGATAGTCATAGTATTTTCGATAAGAACGACATCTGTCTTGTTTTAACGGTTACCACGATATATAACGGTAAATATACGGAGATTAAAACTCAGTGCCAACGGATTGGGGTTCACTCTTTTTAGTTCTATTGCCATTTTAAAACCATAACAATATCCGTAAAAGGCAAGCAAGCATATTAATGATATAATTATTATATTTAATTTTAAAACCTAGTAAAATAATCATCACTGTTATAATTTATAACTAACCCTCTACATTAAATTACCTAATAGCTATTCAAAACTTAATTCAAATTTTTTGTAATGCATAAGAACTCGTTGAAAATATGATAAAAACTAATTCATTTTTTAAAAAACCGTCCATTCCTAAGATATTTTCTTAAAATAAAAATTTAAACCCTTGCAAATAATTATTTACTATTGGTATGAAATATATAATAAAAATATAAAAATATATAAAACGACAACGTTATGGAATGATGAGACTCCTGGCCAGGTGAAACACCATGGTTGGGTGAGATACAGGAATATTGGCTATATTAGTCTATTAAACTTGAACCTAATGTGCTATTGCTCTAAAAAAAAAAAAAAACGATACTGAATGAAAGAAGTCTGGAAGATCAGTCTATATTTCTAAATAAGATTGATACAGTAGAAAAACTAAATTTTTTAATAACGTTGGTTGAACTTTTAATACTCTAACTATCGCAACAAAAACATGGAAAAATTTAAAATTTCAAGTATCTATAAACAACATAGAATTCATGAAAATATTACACAACTAAAAAATATCTTTAGTAAAATAACTAATGTATTTTAATAAAATATCATTGAAATATTCGATTTCGTCAAAATTTAATTTTGTGACGCTTCTAAATTATTCTTGTAACCTTCCAATTATTTTGTTTTTAACTGTATTTAGATGTATTTAATTTTAAAACCTTAAGTTAGAATAAAATAATTAGATAAAAATTTAATAATTTAGGAATTGTTGACAACGAAAAGTTACGTTCTTTTTTATGATTTTTAATGTTTTATCGACATTTAATTTTTGTTTAAATTCCAAAAAAAAATTAAATTCTATATTTTATTTTTTTATTCATTATTAAATAGTATTAGAAACTTAGTATTAAATTATCAAGACTTTTTGTCAAACTAAAATGATTTTATCCACATTTTCGAAAAAAAGTTAAAATAAATAATATATTCTGAAAATTATACCATCTATAACCCAATAAAATATTCTCCCAGAAATTTTTCATGATTGAAATAGTTGGAGCAATCATTCTGTAATTTATTTAATTCAATTAATTTCTGTTCGAAATTGTGTATTCAGACTTCGAAAAAATAATTAGTGCTTGACAAAATAATAATAGAGGTAAGATTTTAAATCTGTATTGAAATTTTAAGTTTTTTGTAATTTTTTCTCCGTTTTTCTCATTATTCGGAAAATTATTGAAAAATTAAAAAAAAACTATCCCCTCATAGTTTTTTAAACAAAACTTGATATTAAATGTAAACACTTCTCAGAAATTCAGATATAATAATGCGATTATATGACTTATATATCTTACTCAGTATTTTTTGCACCATACTATACATACCTAATATCATATGTATTTGACACGCATCTTGTACAGGATTTGGAACGGTTTGTTACGAGCGCCGAGCGAGGCGTTATTTACTTTTCGATGGGTTCCATAATTAAAGGTGCGTCAATGCCGATGGAACGATCTCTGGCCATGTTTCGGGCGTTCAGTCAGCTAAAGGGCTACAAAGTGTTGTGGAAATGGGAAGACGATACACCTTGGCCGGAAGTCCCGTCTGACAATGTCATGTTCGTGCCGTGGATGCCTCAATTCGACGTGCTCAGTAAGTATACACACACACATACACACACATAAACGTGATGACCGTAAGTACCTGTCTACGATCCCACGACAACTGCAATACAAGAATCGACTTTCTAATAAAATGTCATTACTTTCGTCATTTTTTTGTCATCTCATAATTTTAATTTATTTAACCCTGTTCCGATCAAGATATCCTCTTTTTTCGGAATAAATTTTGTACTAATTAAAAAAATAATTCAGGAACACGTTTAAATTACATTTAATTCATACAAGGATTCATGCCAAATCTTATTAAAAATGGCCGTTTAATATGCGATTAAAGATATTTCGTTGGTTGTCTCAGGGCCGCTCTTAGGATTTGCGAGGCCCTCCTAGTTCTCACCCTTTACTTAAATACTTAATTATAAATAAAATATTTTATTATAATTATAATTTTTTAATTTTACGATAGCAAAAAGTAAATAATACATTTTATTATTTACTTATATAAATTATTATAATATTAGACGTTAACTTTATTATTGATGTTTATATATATATATATAAAAAAAAGTAGAATATTGAAATACAAATATATAAATTTAAACAAAATTAATTTTCCTCGCTTTTGGATGATGTTATATCTCCAAGTAGCAAGTTTAAGCTGTGAAATGTACATGGTACAAAAAAGGCTTTTTGATTTTCCGAAATTATTCGAGATTGTACTCCCTTATACTGTCCTATCATATTTGCCCCATTATCATACGCTTGGCCTCGACAATCTTTTAAATCAAGGCCAAGTTCTGTTGTGATTTTAATTCATTAATTAAACTAATTCCAGTTGTACTAGTTACATGAATAAAACGTATAAAATATTCGCGAATACTGGATTAATTATTATATAATACCTCAAAAATACGTAATATTAATGTTAGTTGTTCTTTATGACTTATCTGGAGTGCAAACTAATTGAATACTATAGTATTTATTTTTCTTCACACGATCAATTATTTCTTTTCTTATCTCTTTCGCCATAATACTTATTAATTAATTTTGCATATTAGGTCCTAAGTAATGATCATGAATTTCATTGAAACTTATTTTCCTTAAATGTTCGGCCATAATAGGATCAAATTTCGCAATCATTTGAATAAGACCCAAAAATTTACCATTGTTTTCCGCTAAAAATTGAATACAGGAAATAATTCTTTTTAAAACATCACGCCAACGTTCTTTTTCGGAATTAATATTTTTTTGAAAATTTGCATCAATAGTTGTATTGCATTCAAGGCCCTTTCGTAAATTTAACCATTTGTTTTATGCAACAATGTGATAATGAGATATTTTGTGCTCTTTTAATCGATTTCCTACATGTTTCCAATCTGAAAAACTTTCAGTGACCAAATTTGAATTGGAACAAGTAGACAAAGTTGATGGAAATAATCGACAGTAAAAACAAAACAATTTGTCTTTTGATTTTGAATATACAAGCCAATATATAAGAATTTTTTCGTTATTTGACATTGTTCTTTGGTAATAAATTGGATTAAATTTCCTTCCGTTTTCATTTAATGGGAAATCAAAATTTTTTAAATAATTTGAAGGGCCACGTTTTACTAAAAATATTCTTACGGAATCAGACATAATATCAGGCCACTTACCTATATCATCGTCGAGTTGTACAGTGTTATTAATTTCAATATTGTGTTCATTACTAGATTCCACTTCGGCATTTTCTTCACCAGTTCCATTATTTTTGGATTGGTTACTGTCACCAAAAATACTATTACTATATTTATTACTTTCAAAAACGGTTGATTTATTTTTTGGAATTATAATATTAGCTGAACTATTATTTTCATGAGAGTGACTATTTTCACTTATAAAATTTTTATCTAAATATTCACTGTCATTAGATGTTTCTATTTTAAAAAATTTATTTAAAGAGCCACGTTGTGATAGTTCATTTTTTTCTTTAACAGCCTGTCTTTTTCTCTTTTCAGATCCACTCAAAAACGTTCTGTTTTTATCACGGTCACGACCACTCAATTTAAATAATTCAAATTTAATAAAAAAAATAAATACAATGGTTTTAATAATATAATAACTACTAGCCCGTTTATACGTAAACGAAAGAACTTTACTAGTGATTATCCGGTATTCGTCAAGCAGACGCGCGAGATACAGCAATCGTACCACTCATTATACTTGATATTTTTAGAAATTTTGACGAAACACCCCGCTCTTCCCCTACATCAGTGATATGGGTATTCGTGTGACCATTGAATGGCACGTGTCAATAAGATAAAAACCACCACGGTCGTTCATAAATAATAAATAATAATCATAAGATAATATAATGAGATAATGTTGTCGGTCGATGAGCAATAAAAGTTATTACATATTGAAAAATGATATAAATGATTTTACATTATATCATATATCTTTTTCTGCAATTCATAATTCCGAAAAAAGTTTAACATTCAAGTGCGAGGCCCCTACAATGCGCGAGGCCCTGGGCATGGGCTCCGCAAGCCTCCCCTCCCTAAGAGCGGCCCTGGGTTGTCTTGAAGTACATTATGAATATGGTTTACAAGATTTACACAGGGCGATCACGTTGAAAAAGCGAAACTTAAGATATTTCGAAAATGCTGAATATAGTTTTTACTATATAAATAAATAAAATAACATATATTGTTTTGTATTTTAATCATTCGAAAGAAAATCCATATTTTTCAATAACAAAATATTACATATTTATTATTTTCTATTTTGTTTGATCATTAAAATGGTAAAATCCACGTTTTACAACAGTTATAATTAAATAATAAATATTTCCTGATCAATTATACAACATAAAGATAATGTCATATAATATAGTAATAAAAATAATATTATGTCTTTGCAAAAAAGAAAATAATGCGTTTTTTCTACAATTGCAAATCGCGACATAAAAATAAATGTTATATTAACACGTTTAAACCGTTTGCTTTGACTGTTGTAGGCGGTGCAAGCTTGAAATCATAATATTATGTAGTTATATTTGCACCATTCGCAACGTCACTGATTAACCACCTTAACCATTACGTGACCACTGAACAATTTATATTACACATAACACAAATTCTATGGAAAATTAAAAATAATAATAATAATATTATTTTACATAAAAACTTAATTCAAAACGATTTCGATTTACGATATGGTCTAAATGTTTAAACACAAGTTTCCGTTAATGTGTTTGACCTACAAATTTCTTAAATTTCATTTAAATGGTGATAGTTCTTAATGAGTACAATTCACACTCACATGTTTAAGGAACAGTAGCATTTTTTACTTGTATTACACACAACACAGTCACCTTGATAAGTCACATATAATTTTTATAAATAATAAAATTACTTATAGTAGGAGAAAGATTATTGCAATAAATCCAATTATAATTTTCGAATTAGCAAATATTTATAAACAGTTTCAGATGTTTTTTCTCAAAGCCGATATTTTCATTTCAACTCTAATCAAATCACAGTATATTTTTTTCTTTTTTTATCTTTAAATAACATTATTCATTTATGTTTTTTTTTTCTAATTACACATCATCCTCGAGCAGAATTATTATTTACAGAGAACTACGAATATTATCATTATAACATTTTTGATGATTAGAATTTCTGAATCTTTTATTTTTACAAAAGGATAATGGGATCCTAAACCGACATATTGTTAACAAACGTAATATTTTGAAGTAATAATCTTAGTAAAAACTAACATAAAATAAATAATCATAGATTTAAATTAATTTTCTAAATGTTTCATTTTAATTCCAAATACATTTTTGAACGAATTTTTTTTCACATTTTTATGTCTCGTCCTAATAATTTGATGACATTTTATTCATATAATATGGGGCCTAAGCTGTTATCATTAATCGGATATTAGATTAAACTCATCTATATACATATAAACATAGCGTTTTCAAATTTAGTCTGAAAATAAGGGCTACAGCATAAGCAAATAGACTGCTGTAAATACTTATGTACGAAAACGTGCTGTGCATATTATCTCTGTCGCATCATTAAAGACATATATTAATCGTTATCTTTCGACCCTAATATTATATTATATAATATAAGCCCCATTTTTGGCGTCACTGCAGTAAAAGGATAGAACGCTAATATTTCATTAGTAAAATACACGAAACATCTTTCTGTTGATGCTTTATCGCTTTCTGTAATGGACGTAATTCAAAGGATAGAATAAAAAGGAGACTGCTTTTTCCGACTCCATAATCTAAAGCGTATTATTGTGGGTTATCTTCATATTTATTTATTTTTAATTTTTTTTTTTCACATATGAAAACAATTTTAACGTTTAAAGATTATTTTCATCAAAATTAAACGAATGTCTTATAATATATAATATATATTATCTCTGATATCGATCTAATGTAATATCATAGCGAATTTTATATGTATATTTTATAATTTTATAAAACTAATCACCAAAAATCTTCAGAAAAGAATTGAAGAAATTTTTATGCAAAAAAAGTTAGACCATTTAACAATAACTCTTCTGAATTATCAACAGTTGATAAATATTACACTTTTGAACCATGAATTACAAACTTTAAGAAATTCTGAAGCTTGCTAAATGAAATTCGTAATGATACTCATCCATAGTAATTCTTCAAATCGTTTGTCAACATTGGAAAAACTTTATTCATTTAAAAAATGTTTTTCGGGTCAATCGTCTGATCAAACGACATAACAAAAGAAAATACTGAATATATAACCATTTATCTTGACATAAACGTGAAAAGTTGATACTGATATATGTTTGACTTTAGTCAGTTCTGGAGAACTACTAAATTGCATCCCTTACCCGGATGTCCACCTATAAACGTAATCTTTCTTTTTGGTATTCAACCCTTAAGGTTAATTTTGTAATTGGATATTAGCTCTCCACTCTTCTCAGTTCTAAGCTAGCCTTTTCAGTTCGGTGTAACTTGTTAGTTCAGCCTCGGAGATTATTTGTTCCACA